GTGCAATTTATAAGATGTATCGTCTTTTTTCGATTAACTATAAAATTAAAGTTATAAATTTATTCAACATTTACGTTTTATTATATTAAGATCACCTCGGAAGGGAATCAATCTGAAGTTAAGTCCTTAACAAATTCAAACATGTTTTCTTCTTCATTTTATCGCATAACTATATATCATTATGGGTACGATGAAAAAAAGATGAGCATTTTTTCTTAAAAAAAAAAAAACGGTTATTATCGAATACTAATTCAAAGTAACTTACAAGCGGTACACTTGGCGCTTACCCTACGCTTATAATTCGTTCCATGTCAGTAAGTACCTCTGTTGGTTGTTGAGTAATTATAAGGTTATAAAGAAAAACTGTTTCTGGTGAAAAAGTACCACTCAGGTTGAAGTCGTAGTTGGCAAACCAAATGTATACCTACACTTTATAATATGGAAGACAAAATTTTCCATGTAATCGGATTTTTTTCATAGGTATTTATACAATAAAAGTTATTGAAGTTTTAAAAACATAAAAATATCGGAAATGACTCTTTTTGGTATCGATGGTTTGAAAAAAAAAAAAGAAAGTTAAATCTCAGCAAATACCTATTCGCCTCGTGCATCCCTTGCACATTTCTCAACTATATGACTATAATATGATAATGTTCATTTTTCGTGTACAACGGTGTTTACAATTAATTTAAGCGTGTACGTTTACTTAACGTCTTCTTGATATTATAGCAAGTCAAAATTATTCGTCGTCACAGACTCTCAACCCACGATCTCGTTTACCCTAAATTCGCAGAGATAATATGAATATAATATTTAGTAGGTATCACATATTATATTAATACTCATTTTGACATGTTAATGAGAACCTCGATCGGTATACCTATCGTTGAGTGCGAAACCGGAGATGAGAACCGACGGTTGGGTAGTATTATAGTGTGTATATAATATATATTATTACAATTTAGTCTTTGGAACAACAATATATTAAACGCGCATGGTATGCGGCTGCGGTGGTTAATATTTTAGTGGTAATCTATTATTATAAGTACAACCTACCTATATTATATTATAAATTATTATATTTTATAAAATTAATAAGATAATAAAATATGGGTACGTACGGTTTACGTAAAATTCCGGTCGACCCGAGCCCAGCGATTAATGAGGATTTATATTATTAACCGTATGGGTACTAGGTAAACCGCGGGAACCAGCAGGTAAACCGACAAACGGCTTTGCAGAGATGTCTGAGAAAAGAAAGGGAAAAAACAGTTTGTGATAGAACGCGTGTCAAGACACACTGGATCTCCGATCGAGGGCAAAGTATATTTTATAAACGACGATTGCACCTATATATATTGAGCGCCAACATGCACGAGAAGAACGTTTTAAAGTGTATCTACGATTTTTAAGTACCCATAAAACGTTAAATTATAAATTACATAAAAATATAATTATTATATTACAGCCAAACCGTTCGACAGTGTGGTTTTATGGCCCCACTGCAGGTGGCATAACCGAATCTGAAAACTAATAAAGGTACCTACGATTCACTTCGATTGACTATACGACGATACAGCAATAATATGTATTTAAGTATTATCGTATTTTCGATTATAATAGATTACATCGATAAAAAATACTAAAACATTTAAAACCATATTTTCTAAATACGTTGTGGGTTATTTATGGTAATAGTATTATAATGTGTAAGATAATAATTAGAATCGTTTACGATTTTTACGTCGATTGCGTGGATGCGAATCCATAAATAATTATTGCTCAATATAACGATATTATTCAGATAATATGATATACATTTCCATATCTTAAATAATTGAGAATTCATAGCTGATATATAAGCTTTCAATCCATAAGTATATATAAGCGAGATTAGGTAGGGGGTTTGAGGGTGTGATTAGTAACCCACATTATAAAATCTGGACCCCCGTTATTTTTTAATTAGTTCTTATTTCATCCATTTATTTAATACGTATTCCTACAACAGTGCGAAGCCATTATAATATTATTATATTATGTCTAAAGATATTGGAATACCAATATATATTTATATATATTTACATAATGACTATATTTTTTTTATTTTTTGTGAATGGGCGTAATTGCTCATTGAATAATCCGTGATCTTCAAAAGACAAATAAAAAATATAGGGCTTTAGCACCTGCCCCATCCCTCAATCGTTTCGTTTAAAATGCACCGCCACGAGCACCTACCTAGATTATATGATTAACGTGTAGTAGAATAAAATGCAGTCTAAGAAATCAGTCGGATTTGAAACGCAGACATTTCAATCATTTATGGTTGATCACTGGTTACAAACACGCTGTAAATGCATAATTTTATAATATAATTCCGGTGTCCGTATAAGTTATAATGCAGCACATTGGTGCGATTCCGGAAACGGTTTTGCAGGATATGTCACGAAACCGACCGCATTCCACAAACAATCCGCAGATTTCGTAATAATTGTTCATTATTTAAACGTCCGTCGTTAAAGTTTATTATCGCTCGGGGCCGAGTCAAGTCGCAGCGAGAACTGCACACTTTTGGACGTTTCCAGAGAGTGACTGTGCGGCCACACGCCGCATAATAATAATATTATTAGTTACGACATATTTCTGTGTTTTGCTTTTTATCGAATAACCTACGATTTTATACCGCGGTACATATTATACTTCGACCGTTGGTCGTATTACCGACACGCGTGTTCGGTTTATAATAAGAGCCGCTCGTTCTTCGCTACTTTATGCAATGATGTAATATTCTTATTATTATCATTATAATATCATGAACACAACATCTTTGACGGAGATTAGTTTTAATTAAAATACGGACGCACGTCGTAGCCGCATAAATATTTTTACGATTATTGGACGGTAGGACGGATAAAATAATATTATGTACCCATGTGAAGGCGGAGTCATTATAGCCGCGTTGTTATACATATATACATAAACGGTATGAAACTCAAATGTTTTACGAGGAAAACATAATGTAACTCGATAGTCATTTAATAGGTACTCCACATAAATAATATAAGAAATAAATAAAGCCATAAACATTATGGTAATATACACACAAACACACACACACACGAGCATAATAGTTTTGCCGCTACTGTTCCTATAATATAGGTTCGGCCATTAGAATGTCGCGGTTACATCTTCGGGCTACTTCGGTGTGTGTGTGTGTGTGTGTGTGTGTGTGTGTGTGTGTGTGTGTGTGTGTGTGTGTGTGTGTGTCGGTCACGGCCTGGCCGTGTTCGTATAATGTCCGTTGAGGGGCGGGTAAAAGGACGTGTTGCCTAATNGTGTGTGTGTGTGTGTGTGTGTGTGTAAATGTGGTTAAGACCGTGTTCGTATAATGTCCGTTGAGGGGCGGGTAAAAGGACGTGTTGCCTAATGTAAAATTATTTTGTCCGGCTACTTTCGGTCTTCGTATATTATTAGGATTAACTGCAAACACCGAACACCTAATTAGATTTTTTTTTTTGAACGATAACACTCGTCGTCATTTTCTCGAAAATAATCAACGATTTTCGAATTTTGTTTTTTGTTTTATTCAATTTTAGGCCATTACTATAGAGCACAAAAATGTATTTTTATCGTTACAAATGTTTAAGCTTTTACTTTTTATTCGGCATAATACATACGTTGTAATTTCATATCCTGAAATGTTATATTTTCCTTTGCATTTCATTAAAATCGAAGATGAGTGATAGTTTAGATGGGCGGAATAGTGGACATATTTTTCGGGGTACCCTTGCAATACCACACCACTAAAAAATTCTTTGAATAAATGTTGTGTTGTTTTTTTTACGACCAATCAACTACTGAATCGAAATTCGATTATTATTAGAAATATTTAATTCAGCTTCGGAATACACGAAATAAAAAATGTATGATGTCGTTCAAAAAGTAATAAATTTAAAAAAAAAAAGCGAAAAACCTGTTATTTTGGAATGACTAAATTATTTTCAATACTTGTTGTGAAAATTAGTTTGACTATCTTCAATGGAATCATCGTGTGTGCGTAATATTATTATACACGGCGGTCCACCGCTTTGCCCCTTCAATAAACAACCTATATAAATATACATACGCAGACGCAGCTCAAATGGAATAACCGACAGGTCTAAACGTCTATAATCTCTATATTATTAAGCACTGACAGAAGTCTGTTTGATTGGGACATTCAGAAAAATCATTACGCAGAACAATGTATTAATAAATTATTATTATGTATGACCGAAGCCTTTTCAGAAAAAAAGACACTGATGCACCTTGTCCGTATCAGCTGGTTGGATGATGGTGAAAGTTTTGAAATAAAACGTTGGACAAAACGCATTCGTCTTAATCTCCACATAACAAGTTGATGACGTTCCTTCATATAATATTATGTATTTGGTATTACGGAGTGGGACCTAATTCGCTGAGCGAAATTATTTATAGGGCTCTTTTAAAACAAAATATATATTTATGCGATTTCATGCAGTAGATATTATATGACTTTAATACAATAAACGATATTGATCAATTTTTAAGAGCCTAACCAAATAATACTAAAAATTATGAAATGTGACTATTAATATTAATATTCACACACCAGCTATATTATTTATACGAAACCAATTATTTTGAATCTGTGGATCTTTTTAGAATAAAAAAAATAAGTTTGGAGAAACCAGAACATTGTTGTACACATTATTACTTATTGTTATTTAATCGTTAATTATTTTGTGAATTACCAAGCTAAAACCAATCTATGACTTAAGCTCGAATTCCTTAAAAAAAAACCTCAAGCCATGAGTTCTCCCGTTCAATGCATACCTACCTCATAAAAGTTAAATATGTAATAATACTTAACAGTTTATATTTATAAAACTTGTCTTCTATTTTTTCTACCCAATCTACCAGCTCCCCGTCATAAAATATACAACAATGGGTGGACTTGGAGGACGATATAAAATTGTACTTACATTTGGCTTTCTTCTTTTTTCGAGTCGTCGTACGTCGGCAAAACCCGATGACGGAGAAAATCAAAATCATGACGATGATTCCGCCCACGGCACCAATGATTGCCAAAATCAGCATAAAGTCTTCTGCAACGGAAATTAGACGTATAAATAACTAATAATGGTATAGCACATATAATAATAAAATTGTTATTTAAGTTATTTTTGACATGGATTTTGTTTAAGCATATGAATTAAAAAAAACAGATGGTTGGAAACGCACCCATATTAATACCGTAATAACAGTAAGGAGTTTAGTGTAGGCAATATTTAAGCAATACACGATGTACTTATTTTATAGACAAAATGTATTATTCAAATATATTTTATTTGCTAAATCGATCAATTTTTATTCCACTGCACACCGATTGATCGATGGTGATGTGATTTTGATGATAAAACTGGATTTTTAAGTCTTAATAATAAATGTTTACTATGGATCATACCAACAACTTTTTATTTATTCAATTTATTAACATAAAAAACCGTATATATTAATACATTTTTTTATATTTTGAAAGTCAAACATTGGTATGAATTTATCTGTCCAATTTTATAAGAATGTAAAAGTTGTTGATAAGATTACAAGACGAGGAAATGAGGAATCCGAACTGGTTTTCCTTGTAAGAAAATAGTTCTTTTTAAGCAGGAAAAACGGTGCGTTTCGAACTTTTGAGCCCCATCAATGTTAATGGTTAATGTATTCTAATAAATGTGCATATACTTCAAAAGCCATTGTATTCAAAAACACATTTTTTTAAAAATATTTTATTCAACTCAGTACCCAAATCGAGTAAGTAGCTTACTTTTTTGTAACAGCGTGATTACCACCGAGTCGGATCCGTATTCGTTGTATGCCGTACAGTTATAGGCTCCGAATTGCTCTTGTACCGAGTTCCTGATCATCAGCGAGCTTTTCACGCCTTCGTCCGTCGGATCTTCCAATACCTACACATTTAAAATTATTATTAAAATGTCATTGATGAATGATGTCGACGAAAAGTATCAATAATGATATCGATGTCGTACAATTTATAACATTATACACTGTCCCTGCATCAGTGATGACGTATCACATACGGTAGGCATGTACGAATGTGTTGATCAGACAAAAACCCTTAAGTTAGGTGGCCGGGTATTCATCGAAGACCAAAAATTAAGCTTTTATTATTAGTAATAGAAATGTGTTTATTGTAATACCCACTTAGAGAATAGCCCCGTTCTATAGTAGGTAGGTTAAAATATGAAGTTTTTTTTTTTGGAAACATGGGTTTTATTGGGACAAATCTTAGTTTTTTCAGTTAAATTTCAATTTGTTGCGATAAAATAGTATGCACATCAATGTATCGCTGTAACAACTACAAAAAGTTTGAAGTTAATTTTTTTTAAGAGCTCTTAGAGAAACTATTACGGGAGTAATGAAATGTAGGTACTTATCAAAAGGATGGTAGATTCCAGAGACACACTATATGTGGGCAACTATATGAGTATAACATATTACAGGCTCTGTTATCATTAATACTCCTCGCGTGTTCGTTATAATATTTGGTTTTGGAATTGGTTCAAAACGCGAAGACGAAAATATGTGTCGTGTAATATTTATTATATAATATATATAGGAAACGTGCATTACACACATACACAAACATATAAAAGGTTTACCGAGTGATTCTTTTATCATTGAACACTCATTGTTTCAAAAATTTTACTAAACTTCTATTCGTTAAAAACATCATTTAATATATTATACATAATATATACTATATAAATATTTTTTATGTTTTTTATATTTTGCACGACAACGTAGGTACATTTTTGAATATTCAATAGGAGAATATTTTGCAGTTTTTTATTTTATATGGTGAGTCAAGGATATTTTTTTTCTATTTTAAACTCTAATTAATTATTGTATATTGCAAAACATTTTTTCATTTATTATTAAAAGATGATGCTTGAGCTTAACAATTATTTTCCTGCATGAATTTAATCATTGATTTTATATAATTACTTGTTATACGAGTATATCTATATATTATGTATATAAACAATACGAGGCTATACAATTTATTTTTAATATTATTAAGCATTTTGCATATTAATTTTTTTTTTAATGTAATAAATATTCTTGGCTTTATGGGTACAAACATCATAGTAAAGAATATCATTTAAAGAATAATTGTTATGAATATTATACAATATTATGAACATAAGTACCTACTACCTATGTAATAAGCGCGATAATAATAATATATGAACTAAGTATAAAATATTATGTCGTACCTTTGTGTTATTTGTTATTGTTGTTATTTTACTGTTATTCTGAAGACCGTTTATATTCTAGTTGTACCAATGTATTTGTAATTTTTTTGTAATAACGTAATTACTTTTTATATTAGCTTAAATCTATTGAAGAACTCTCGGTCTCCCTCGACGCTTTGCTTTTGGAGTTAAATTATTTCGTTTTAATGTATGGGTTAGGTATAGGTACCCACCATATTATCATGTAATATAACGAAACAATAAGAGCAAAGGATATTAATCACTATAAATTGTCGTTTACACATTTTTTACTTAAACGAATTTTTACGCTTGAAATACTTTTCAGTCGAAGCGACGTGGTGAATTTCACTGTTAAAATATAAGTAATTACCTATAGCAGTTAACTATTCGCCTCGATATTATATTATTGTGTTACATAATAATAATTCGACATTGTTATTCGCACTCCAATTTATATGAATACACTTACGGAATCATTATTATTATTTTGTTTAAACATTGTCGCAGAGTACCTAACCGAAGTGTATACAGGGTAATTCACCAAGCATGCTCTTTTTCTCTTCAATAACTCAGTTATTTAAAATCTGATTTATTAAATTTTTAAATTAACTTAAGGACCATCATTTAAAATTCCTTATAATCTTACTGAAAAATTTGACATATCAAAATCAAAATTCGTATAAGTAGTTTTTGAGTTATTTAACTTTGTGTTCTATAAGAATAAAAGGTCCAATGGGTAATGGGTTTATAAAATATGTAGGCAATGGTGATATAAAAATTGTATTCATTAATATTAATCTATCAACACTAATAGTTTGTCATAAATGGCCCAAGTATAATACACTAGTTCCAATATTACGTTAATTTTATATTCTTGTAAAACCATTCTTAAGGACGATATCCTTAGTACAAACGTGATGTAAATAAATCAAAATTCAAACGAGTAGTTTTTGAATTAACTTTCTATACTAAGGATAATAATAAATTTATGGTAATGGGTTAAATAAATATGAGGGCTTAGATTATTTTAAAATGTTTAAGTTATTACTATTTATCTGTGAATATAAATAATGAGAATAATAATAATATAATTTGTGAAAATTAAAAATGATCCAAGTATAATAAATGCTAAGTCCAATATTACATGTACAGTTTTGCAAAACCGTTTTCAAGGATTAGTATGCTTAGAATAAACATTTTAATAATTAATTTATTACATTTTCCACTAAATAATTTACAGTTAAAAAGAGAGGGGGGGGCATTTGAAAAAAGAAGTTTGTATCTCCACATGACACTCCTTAAAAAGTACAAACATTAGAAAAATTTGAGAAAAAGTGTTTTATAGCATATTTACAAATTTTAAAAATCATAATTTGAATAAATTAATTATTTATGGAAAAGATGGGGGTGAGCATGCTTGGCGAGTGACCCTGTATATTTATAAAATTATAATAGAAGAGGAACGCGGTTGTTTGTGCAGACCTAACACCGTCTCCTCCGAGAGAGGGCGTGGAATTCCGATAATTGGCTTCCCGTCCCTCGACAATTATTACATTAAGCATATAAACATAATAATAATAACATGTACATTATACATATTTTATACATGCACGACCTCCGCTGACTGATTGCGCGTATTATTATGATTTATAATAATAATAGTAAAGCAATCATTGTTATTTCGTTGTATAGAATAACAACAACAAAGTAACATGTCATTAAACAATCGGTCCTTTGAAGCGTTTTATTATTACAATAATATTCATTGTTGCCTTCTTCTTCGTCGTCGTCGTTGTCGATATCATAAGAGCAACGTCAGAAACGACGAAAACAACGCCCACGCAAAGCACGTGGTTTGACGGCGTTTGAGTGTAAAACCATTATTATAATTCGCTGTGTTGACAGCCACGCTGAATATTATAATCATAGATTTAAGGCCTATACAGTGTGATTCATATCGATCATCATCACCCTATCGATGTTGCCATTAACAATGAATGCATACAAATTCTGTTTTTTTTTTTAAATATATAAGTATACAAGATTTCGAGATCTTCAGATTTTTCGCACCACTTAGGAAGGAGCGTAGGAACTACTGCGGCGATACAAACTTCTGTATAATAATATAATCAGCCCAGATAATTAGTGTGGATACCTGCCTAACAGGTATTTATGAGTTATGACTTACATAACCAGTTAGCCGTTTATTGCACTCTGTATATATGCATCGATATCACTCTAGAGTCTAGATACATAAACATATTATATGTATAGGCACTTAGATTAATGTGTGTATGGGTTTTTTTCTGCATCGTTCCGGAACAAAAAAAAAAAAAATAAACGTACACTTCGATAAAACTAAAAAACCGCGTATTTCTTAGTTTTAGTCAAACCGCGTTTTTATGTATTTTTTTTTTCCATTTTACGATTATTTGCGAATTTCAAATTCTTATAACGCTCCGGCTCGGTTATTCGAACATTTCGTCTTGCAAATGGTCTTTTCCCTTGTTTTTTTTTCATACCAAACGTGCAGTATATAATAAATAATAATAATATATCACACACCATCAGTGATCTCAAAAAATGGTTCGACCTATGCCATCATGAGTACAGTGTGCTTTTGGGCGTAAGGTACTTATTATTTCTTATATTTCGGTGTTCGAATTGCAGATTTTCAGTTCGATACTCAAATAATAAGTTTGATATTGCTTAATACTTATTTTAATATTAATAAGAACGAACGTCTAAGTGGACTTTGAGTGACAAATGCTATATTTTTATAATATATAAGGAGATTATTTTAAAGGTACCTAAAACATTCTCATGCAATTATATTAACACTCGATACTTTTTTGGAATTATTCTGTTGGCATGATTTGAAATAATTCATTACCATACAATATCATTGAAAAAAAAATATTTTTTACTATTTTTCACCATTGTAACTCTTTTTAATCCCATTTAATGACAACATTTTTAATTTCACATTTTGAAGTAAAATATTTTATTGAAAAATGACAATTTTAAATTTTAAACTTTACAAATGAAATTTCAAAAGATAAATAATTAGTTTTAATTTTTAACTGATAATATTTTAAATGAGTTGAATGGAATAGTTTACAGAACTTCACTAAATGTTGATCTCCCATTCAGTTAATATAAATTTTGAATGATTATTACTAATTATCTACTCTTTTTATGTTGGTATAGAAGTTTCCAAAATATATTCTGCTTCGGAATTTTTTTTTTTTAATGTTCTGTAATGATTTGTAACCATTGAAAAAAATTCAAACAATGATAATAGTAGGTATGTGAAAAAAATAATTGTTTTACTTTTATAACAATCACTTTGGAAACTAATCTTCAATTATGTATCTTAGAGTAGGTATTCGTTGAATTTCTGACTTGATAATTAATAATTGTATGAAAATTGATTATTTAGAAAAATAACGAAAATTATAACAGTCATTTGGTATAGTGGTAAAATAGTTGTCGAAATCTTGTATCTGCATTCTACACTAACATTTAACGGGCGCGGTCTTAGCACGAGTGATCGATCGGGAAATTAATAAAAGGGGCACCAAATATACATAAATAAGCAACAATATTTAATAGAAAACCAAAAACTCTTGTACCGAGTGCGATTATCATAGATAATCGATCTACGTAATCAGCTAAAACCGATTTGTGGAAATGTAAAACAAACAAACGATTATTAATACTATTGTACTTTACATTTACCAAGAAATTTCACGCAATCGACGAAATTAAAAACTTTTTTTCTTTAGCAATAAACTTTTTAAAATTATAACAATGAAAGTGAACATTTGCAAGTCCGTATTCCCTTTTAAAAATATTTGAAAATGTGTAAGATAAAAATATATGGGTAGACCTAAAATAAAATAAAATATATATATTTTTATATTTTAAAAGGGTAGGTACCCAAAAGAAATGAAAATATATTTAAACACCATTACAAAAAATATTTTTTAAATGGTCACATGCTTGTAGCTGTGGATTGTTTCATGATTACCGATATTTATTGAAAATACATCAAAACCTTTTTAGGTTATACATTTTGTTTTAAAACAGATTATCCTACTAAAAATTGTGTGGTGTTAAACGTGCTTTAGAAATTTAAAAATGTTGCATATTAATATGCATTAAAAAACTTTGATATTTCGCTCATAAAAAAAATATTATATAGTTTATATAGTCAGGAGATAAATTTATCTACCTAGCAATAAATCTAACAAGCCAATAATATTAAAAGTAAATAACATAACATGAGCAACAGAATTCTAGCGGGGACACTCGTCTATTTGTATTATTTTGTAGTTACCTATAAGTTTAATATTATGGTTTATGCGTTACGTTTTGTAATTTTTCCCGATCAAACAGTGTTTTCCAATAACGTTCCTATACAAACCTATTACAGCAATGCATCGCATAAATTGATTTTTACTCAAGAGATTCACGAGTAATATTGTAGAGAGTCTATATGGTATACAAATCGAATTGCTCACCGAATAATGTTGCTGGTCGTTCTTAGTGCCGATTATGTTATCGTGGTAAGTCCAAACTATCCGGTCGGCGACGGGCACGGACTTGGCGACGCACTCGAGCCGGACCGTTTCAGACAGAGTACCGTACTGGACCAGAGGGCTGTCGATGACCGGCTTGCCCTTCATGGATATCGAAGCCTCGGCGTTTACCTCACCAAACCCTGACGTGGTGGCCTTGCAGTGGTATCGGCCGACTGTCGTATTCAACACCAGCACCGTCAAGTTGCTGGTCGTGCTCACAACCTGCGGATAAACCAAAGTCCGGTTGTGAGTATAAATTGCAATACTGTTTTATACTAAACATGGTCTACCATCTATATAAGACATTATAATCTAGGGTTACTAGACTGAAATACTGTGCAGAAGCATTTTTATGGGAAGACGAGACGAATGCACATATGGTACCATCATATCGCAGAACTCTGAAAGTTCATTTGAAATATGAACTAATACAGCAGTTGTACATAGGACATATATACAGCAATAATACATAACATATAGAACTAATAAAGTTCATGGACTTGTTTTGTTTAAGTTCATAAGTAAATGCATTTATAAGTTATTCATTTTTTTTTTTTTTACAAAACTATACTGATAGTTTTAAAACCTGGTCTAATTGATTCCATACCCATATGATGTCGTATTAAATAAGTTAGTTATGCAATATTTAAATAACTAAGTAGTGTTTATATTTTAAATTATCTGATTATTATAATTAATAAGTCGTTGAGGTAATTTGTTATTTTAGAATAAAATTAACATCCAAAAAAAGTTGAAAGTTCCATACATTAATAAATAGAAACAAAATTAAAATCAAGTTATTGTAAACAAAATATGAACTTAATTCATTTTCGTATTCATACATTTTAAACTTTTAACGATGAATGAGAGTTCGTTCCAAGTTCTAAAACAGTTATGTTTATATAGGTTTCAGTAGGCATTTTAAAATAATAATTATAAACAAATGATTAATGCTTTTTGTTCTATATTATAATATTGTGTTTGTAGGCTGATGATAGAACATTACGTCTGAGAGCTACCCTTCTCGCCCTTGGTTCGGATTTGGTTTTGACTGATATGCTTTGAGAGGGATTAAAAAACCATTTAAATTATAACGAAAATATTCACCGCCATACGTGATTAAAACTTTCCAAAACAATTAGACTAAATGACAAATACTTCCCGAGGGCCATCAGGTGTAATGGCTGCAATGTCACATCACAATAATAATATTCAACTTAATGTAGTTTAGGAGCGAAATAATTGATAACTCACCTTTTTTGTTTTTTCGAACGTCCACTCGATGGTAGGTGGTGGATTGCTGTCTACGTCACACATAATTGTCACATAACTTCCAAGATTTGCTTGGACGTTTTTCGGTCGATTTTTGAATTGAGGCTTATCTGCATGGAAAAAAATACAATATGTATAAATTAATGGCGGAATCGTCTGAGATGTATAATTGTTGTAACATCTACGCCTGTAAGGACGTATGTATATTGACCAGTAACACGCAAATAAGGGGGGGGGGCAATGGGACCAAGTGACAATGTGCATATTATAATGAAATAACCTACAGTTCAAACTTTCGAGCACACAAGCACTTGTTTAGGTACCTCTGATCATTTAATAGTGACTCATGTTTCAAAAAACATAAAAAATGTAAGATCTCATTATGAATGAGATATTTTCTGAAAGAGAATTATTCACAATAATAATAGGTATGCTTAAAAACATTTGTTAGGTGTTTTTAATTTTTAATATTGTTCTGAATAAAAGGATCTATTCGACTCTTTTAAAACTATATGATACAAAACAAATAATACTAAATTAAGGGCAACTTTTCGAACAAATAGTAATAGTACTCAAGTGCTCAGGCTATTCAGGTAATATTGAATAGAAATATAATATAAATATATTTTAATATAACAGCCTCGTGAACGAGACGCAGTTAATAAAATAACATCATCCCGAAAGTTTTTATAAAAACCAAAGCACCTGCAACGTATTATATTATGTATATACAGCGATCAACTTGTGTGGCTGCAATTGATAGTACAAATACCAATACTTGGAAAACTTTCAAAAAGTATTTTTAACAAGTATGCTGTACGCATGGATTAGCATTGGTAATAGTCATAGCTTTTTGATATTAGTATACCTTGGGTAAGGAAGATCATCATCCTCGACGCCATTCGAAAATTCCGTCCACTCCGGTCTGCATATGACCTACGAGTTACTACGGATGACCACAAAGTCGCCCCCCCCCCACTCAATGTATAAATTCAAAAGGATTGCCAACAATTAATTTACAATTGTTTAATTATTTAAGATTGTTTAATTAGTTACAATTGTTTACTACGATTTGTCCGGAAGCGATCAGACAGATCGTGAAGGCAAAATGAACTTGCAGGCCCCCGAAACTTGTTATTGACTTACAACCTAGGGGGGCGTTATAAATTTGGGGATTGAATTAACAATTACACACAATTAATTTGCTTGAATTTTTGAATTTTTTCGCTTTAAGTCTATGTCCGACTTCGTGTACGTGTTACGCTATGGTATATAATTGCGGTATCGTATAATATTCTATATTATGTGATCAGATTCAGAACTTTCGCGGTATATAATAATAATGATTTTCATGACGCCCCACAATCGTGGAGATCTCCGTTTGTTATGAATATTGAGCGTTGGACAACAATAATTAAATGACGTCAAGGGTGTGTAATAAATCTGAAAAAGCGCGATGTATAGATCGGTTTCTCTTTTCAAAAAATGTTGTCGATCACAATGACGACTTCGCATTGTTTTATTTTCGTACGCGTCGTATGGGTACATAATAAAACTGTATACGAGTTAAGCATCGCAACGTTGATAATTAAATTCTTTTTATTTTTTGTTTTCATCATCGGCCCTCCTATTATACATATATTATATATACATAATATAACATTGTACGTGTTATTATCATTACGGTACAGAGGTCGCGGACGTGCGCGGTACACGGATTCGGCGTCGCGTAATTTAAAAATGAGTAATTAAAATGTGGATTTGATAAAAAAAAAAATAGAACCAAAATGTGAAAAAAAATTCGTAAAACCAGCACTGTCGAGAAACCGCTCCGGTTTCCCGCGGAGCGCGACCGACACGAGGTCTCGGACGATCGCATGTTAATACGCATGCGCACAACATTACACGTATAGGTACACGCGACGTCACGATAAACGGCCGAGGGCATTGATTTAAAACACATATTTCGCAATTTATTATTACTATTATTTAGATTTATATTATACCTGTGCATATATTATTTATGTAGGTACACGCCGAACAGGTGTATACGATTATTATTGGTCCGCCGTAATCGTCGAGTGTCTGCGAAGCCGCAGTGTCGTTTTTTGCAACGTCCGTCAAGTTGGCAAGACACATTATAATAGAACACACACACACACACACACAAAAACTACCTAAGTACGCTACAACAGTGTTGTAATAACACTATATCCACGACCATTCCATAGAAATTCAACTAAGATTTTGTTGCGAGGCCGTTATAAAAATGTTGATATAATATAATATAGGTACCTATCGAATATTCATTAAATCGTTTATAATATAATATAGGTACCTATCGAATATTCATTAAATCGTTTTTTTTTTTTTTTAGATTCACGGAGTATTCGACCACGACGTTTGATGGGTTCATCCCCTGTCATTTTACACGGTTCTTCTAAATTTTTTTTTAAAAATTGTACGCTTTTTAATAGAAAAAATAAAAAATCATCAACCACATTATCACACGATTATTAGCACATTATTAGGTACTATTGTATTCTAGTGTTATTATAAAGTACATAGCGGGTACACCGATATAAACTAGGTTAATAAAATAATAATTTATTTCAAAACCACACGAGTCGACTTATAAAGAATTTGTGTAACTACCGCACAGCGATGCCAAGCGAGTTTTGGTCGGTCGTTTGTCGCGAGCTTAATTGGATCGCACGGAACGATATAATAGTGCAATACGACGAAGTCTATATAATATTATATTACACATTTACACACGAGGGACGCATAGCCCCGTAAGCCGTATAATACCTATGTGTATAAGATACACGGACTCACGTCGGTCGCAATCATGGATTTTCCCCCGGAGCATTCGACCTGTTCGCTTCCACCGAAATTTGAAAAAATTCAACTACCGTATGTGGGGTTTCTGTCAAAAACGATTCCGAATCACGAATGTACCGTAATTTTGTGCCTACGAAATCCCGCTGATTTCCTTAATTTTTCGGACAAGCCAGTCGGATCACAGCTCAACGCGATTATTCGACCCGCACGAACATCACATCAAAACCGCCGCTCGTCAGAAAACACCTATGACCTTGCCCCAAGAGTGATGAATGATGATTATTTTACTCGTTCCTACATCATTATAATATTTTATATAGATTACAAGATGTTTCACTCAATGTGCTCCAGAACTATAAATTGATAATCGCGCGTACGAGTATGGTTTTCTAATCTAGGTATTAAACTTTGTTTATGTATAGGTGCCTAAACTATTGGGATAAAATCCTATGATTATATATACAGGTACGGGGACCACATGGTAGTTTAAAAATTATTAATTTCAAAAAGTCCGTAAATATCTCTTAATTTGTAAAAATTGACGAAATGTAATTAAGTACCTACTATTATACGTCTATACAGGTACATTATTATATAATGTGTTTAATTTTTTTTTTCCTGATTAACCGGTGGTAGAGAAGGCTCAGTGTGAACAAAACTTCTCCTCTGCTGCCATCGTTTATTGATTTATATATTATATTAAGTTTTGTGTAAAACCTGTAGGTACTAAACGTATACATTTAAGTAGTTACTCAAGAATTTCTCGTCAAACCCCCAATTTAAATTATCAACATTTTCAATAAAATTACCCTTTTACCAGTAAAAAAAAAAATGGTGATTTTGAAAAAATAAGTTTTTATCACATTTAGTAATTGTATACAAAAATAAAAGTATTTGAAAATAATAAAGTCCTTAAGCGTATTATTGAAGATTTCTAATAATCAGAATTAGAATAAATGGATTATGAAAGAGAGGTGCGAGCATCATGGTTGCTGAATCACTCCGTATGTATAATATTATTGTAGTCTGCCCTGTCGATAAAACAAAAACCTATTAATAATATAATATATATACTGTCTATAATTCTCGATATTGTTATGGCAGCATGTCCGGTAATTTCACTGCGACGGTGACTGGGAAATGTCACGGTTTCATGAATATATATTATTATTATTACTATACGGTGGGTCTTTTCCGAGGAGACGTGTGAGCTGGAACTCAAAAAAATTGTTGTCGCTTCGTAGTCACGTCGGCTTATTATAATAACGTGCATTAAATTAAAAGGGAAAAAATAATGATATTAAAACTCATCGTCTTGATAGATCGACCGTATTTATTATGCATTTATGAAATATGCTCGTAGGTAATATACGGAGTGTGTCTTTTGTCGCAGAAATCTGGATTTTTTTTTCAAACCACTATAAACTCCTCGAGTTGGAAAGCGTACATCGAAGCCCTGTTCGATTGAGTCAGATTATACTCTACTACGTTGTAACTTGTAAGTGGTAACAGTATGTTTGGGTGAATCGACCCAAAATGTTATCTGTTTGGGCAAATGGTTGGGCGAGTGTTTATTCCACAACAAATACTATTTGGTCGAATGAGAGATAAATGGGTTTATAGGTATAAGACAGTATAACTACTAAATTATAATTTATATATTGAAATATTGTATAGTAATGTACATTGTCCGCGATTGAAAAATAAAGCCACATTCGAAATGCATAATATACATGATGAAATCTTAGCATTAAAAATATATTGGTATAGTATAAATAATATTGTAATACACAGTCAACACTAATAACGATTTTGCAATAATTAACATAACAAAATCACATGCGATAAAAGAAATAATTAATAATGAACCCCATTCTTAAAAACGTAGGTATTAGCATCAGTCATCAGGTTTTTGTGTTACGCAGGTTACTGAATTTATTTATTTGGCCAAACGGTATGAATCATATAGTCCCCAAATGGACAATTAATTTTTGGTCAAAACACTACCAGTCGGGAACAACTGGTATACCGAGCGTTGTGCGATAGCCGATGAGAAAACCACCCCGTATACAGGTACGTTAATTACACAGGACCTGACGCGCATTTTCGTCCTTGTCCCTCTAATCACGAGTATATCGGTATGCCTACTTATATATTATACATGTATTATATGCATGCATGGTACGCAGGATACATAGTCATGGAGTGTACATATGTGCACGGAGACGACCTGCAAAGACGGTGTCGGAATACCAAAGCAGCTCGA